ACCTTCCAAGTGTTAAAAAAGGATTTGTCAAAGGAGAAACCTTGAGAATCCTATGAAAAAATTCCTCAGAAACAACCTTTGAGGAAAATAATTCAAATTAAAAAAAAAACGCTTGATGGACGGATGCTACCCACAAACTTTGATAGAAGACCTACTATCAGAAATAAAATTCACAAAAACGAGTCTAAACTCCTAAAACAAAACGTACAAGGAGGAAAAAGATTTATTGGCATTTGTGACACAATACCAACCCTCAGTGTCTACTATAAAGGAAGCTTGAATAATAAAAATGGAATCTTATACAAAACCAACCATAACTTTAATAAATTTTTAAAGAGCCACCAATCATTTCCTTACGAAAAAGGAAAATCGTTAAAGGACATGCTCGTTAGAGCCAAAAAAAAAAAAGTTAACAAAGGGTTCACGGGAAGTGCGGCCTGTCACCCGTTGCATTTTCTCGCACAACAGGTTAGTAGTATAGGAGGGACCGGTTACGCCGTTTTTTTGAGCAGGAATCTCATTAGCGTGAGCAGGAATACATTAACGCCAATGACGTCATAACCTTTTGTCTTGATCTCATGAATAAAATGCGTAGGAATCTCATTAAGATAAGGTCGTGTGTTATTTTTAGTTGGTTTAGGTTTTCTAGTTACTTGAATGTCGATAGACGTCTTCCTTTTCGATTGGTTAGTTAGAAAAATAAAAAACGTTTTCATTGGTTAATTCATAGTGTCTGAGGAGTAAAGTCAAACTTGTCTGTGACTTTAAATCACTGAGACGTAACGTAATTATGCACTTCCTATTTCCTGCTGCTGTGATTGTCCTTGTTCCGGTTCACTGATTTTTGGCGGGCAAATCGTGCATATTAATGAGAGAAAAGGCAAAATAGCTCTTTTTTACACTGCAAACAATGTTTTACTTACCCCTCTCCTTTTCACAATTTTGTTATTTTCCTTCCGCAATTTTTTTATTCCCATTTTTCCCTCCTCCTCCTCCTCATTTCTATTGTTTTCCCTCCTCCACCACCACCACCACCACCACCACCACATTTCTATTGTTTTCCCTCCACCACCACCACCACCGCCACATTTTGACATTTTGACATTGTCGACAAGTTTGACTTTACTCCTCAGACACTATGAATTAACCAATGACAACGTTTCTTATTTTTCTAACTAACCAATCGAAAAGGAAGACGTCTATCGACATTCAAGAACTAGAAAACCTAAACCAACTAAAAATAACACACGACCTTATCTTAATGAGATTCCTACGCATTTTATTCATGAGATCAAGACAAAAGGTTATGACGTCATTGGCGTTAATGTATTCCTGCTCACGCTAATGAGATTCCTGCTCAAAAAAACGGCGTAACCGGTCCCTCCTATACTACTCAGGTTTGTGAGTATTTTAGCAATAATTCCAGCTGCGTATATAACAAGTGTGGTCAACTGTGTCGTTAGTAGTTAGTGCTTATCTATGTTATTAAATAGGGTAACCCACCCCCTAAGGGTAGCTGCAAATTGCACGACCCACCCTTTGCACAAGGCTCAAAACCTCATAACCCACCCCCTCTCTACTCCGGCCCACCCCTCCCTATACTTTTTGACCAGTCCCTTAAAAGAATCTTAATGCATTTGTTTTAACTCCCGCCACACGAGTTTGTCGAGTCAGAGCACTGAAAGAGAGAAATATCAACTTCCACATTCCGGTTGCCATTTTTGATGTCCGGGACGTTAACGTTCTCGTTGCTTAAGGTCCCTAACATTACTTAAAATAGGATAGATAGATAAATATGCTTTGATCCTTGGATCAGTGAACGAGCTAAGCAAATGAATATAACTACTTTTGATACATGAGGAGGGTGGACAGTGCAAAAGAGACCCTTGGCTTCTAGCTGTGTCATAAAATTTTGAAAAGATTAAGGATTCAATACAATGACCGAATAGAGAGCTATAAAATGACAAAAATATTATGGGCTATTGCGCTGCTGAGGCCCATGAAGTCGATGAAAAAATTAAAATATCCGCCATTTTGTTGTTCTTTTTGGATTTGATTGAAAGTTCTGTTTAGCGGCTTATACACTCTATAAGAACTTTTCCACTTTTGAAAATGTGCGAAACAATAGCGTAGCGTCAATACATGGCGGGTAAAAAATATCCTCTAGCGGATTTGAATTGACGTGGAAATCTGTTGTGTTTCGCGTTTTTCCAACGGTCTTTGCCCGCCTTTGAGTTATAGAGCTGACTAAGAGAAACTGGTAGAAGACAGTACTTTTGTATGTGATGACAAACAATGGCTTTGAAATGTTAGAGCACGCATTCTTCTTTTACTGTACGTGTAAATTTTGCTTGTTATTTCGATGGATGAATCATCCTCACTTTAGAATATCTCTAGTCCATTTTTTTCTCAGGTCGTAAAAAAATCCTCTGGATATTCTCGAGATATTCTAGTTGTTTCAAGTGAAATGTGGAGATGGGCCGCCTATCTGATAGACGGGCCGCGAGAGGATTTTGAGAAAACAATCGTCTGTGGCAAAATGACCGCCTCCTGTGAGGCTAAGCCACACGAAGATAAAAACTTTATCTCTTATATGTTGGACTATATCAAGCATTTTCTTTTTTCGGCGTTGTCCACCGATTAAGCACCATATTAGCTACAACTGGCAACCGAGCAGGGAGAGTCTGCTTATTGCCATTATCGACTTTTTAATATCTCATTCCTGGCGGCAATAAAGGACCGAAAAGGATTAAAGTCTAGCTTTAACTAGCTAATTTTTTTTATTCTCAATATTTTTGACCAACTGGTTTGATTTTACTAAAACAATTATTCCTCTCGCCCTCATGGGCTATTGACTCAGAGCCCATTCGGGCTCGAGGAATAATTGTTAAAAATTCGCAAAATAAGAGGGGGAGGGGTGGGGTGCGAAGTTAGCTTTGTTTCAATCTGTAGACTGTTTCTGATTAAAATACGTTATAATATTATTTCAAGTGCTGTGTTTGTTGAAAGCAACTATACTCAATCTTCGTCTTCAGTCTTCTGTTATCACTCTGACTTCCTCTGACTCAGTTAAAGTTTTAGTATGTTGTGTTTTAATAGTGTTTAAAAATCAGTTTTCAATTTCCATTTAGGACTTGCAATCGCGCCAAGGAAAATTGAAAACAATGCTTATGCAAAATTTTGGAGACCCAACAAGAGAATTATATGGTATTTTTGAAAAAGGGCTTTTATAGTTTTTAGTAGGAGAGCGTCTCAGGTTTCGGTCAAACGTCGAACTTTTCATGAGACGAATCAGAGTTAGTGAGTTAAATTCATGGAACGTGCGACGTCTGGCTCAGTTAAGTTTGTCTGAATGAGTTTGGATCGTCCAACAACAGGTTCTGTTCGTCCACTTCAGACGGATTGAACGTTTGAAGATCTTCTTGGGGACCAAGGTTGATCTTCACATGCGACGAATTAAACAAATGATAATGTATATTTAGCCTGTTTCAGGAGAAAATTTATTGCAGAAATTATTCTCCAGACAATAAAAACTTTATGCTCTCCCTCGGTTAATATTTAAACCAAGGGCGGTGTATTACATTGGACATTACAGGAGCACTCTAGGCGATCTATCTAGCCCTCGTGGCTTCAGAAGCACTCGATATATAACCTATCGACAGAAGCAAGTAAGCGTCGCGATCGCCTTCGTTTTCTTTACACACTCCAAGTGTTGTTGCATCAGCATACATTACATAGCGTCATATGAATAATTAATGTAATAGATTTAATTTTGAATTTGATAACTATATTTGAAAACAGTATTAATACAATCAACATGGAAGTTAAAAATAATTTACTTCACCTTTCCCGCGAATTTATGAACGAAAGCAAGAGTTTTACTTAGATGTGTAAGGCCTTCCTATGAAATGCAAGTGACATATATAATAGATGGCAGTGAACTTAAACTGACGTATGAATTCAAGGGTCATGTTAGGTCATCCAGATCCAAGAATTCGGCAAAATTTTGTTTGTGGAATGCAGTATCCTAGGCTTTGGAATCCGGACGTCAGTTCAAGGAATCCGGCATCCTCCTAACGATTGGAATTCGGGAGCAAGTCACGCTGATAAGGAATCCGGAATTAACTTAACGATTGGGATCCGGGAGCAAGTTACGCTGATAAGGAATCCAAAATCATCCTAACGATTGGAATCCGGGACTGGCAAGTCACGCTGATAAGGAATCCGGAATTCAGTACCTTGAATCCGGAATTCACAGCGTGTATTCTAGATTCCAATACTGTCTTGGGTTCCCTTACATGGGGCTTCTTGTCTTGCTCCTTTTCCATTGTACAAATAACAGTAGGGAGCTTTAGCAACAACGACGGTGACGGCAGCGGAAACGTCACTTTTAAAATGGATTCGCGTTTCTTCAAACGTTGTCGCGTTTATTGCAATTCGCTGAAAATGTCAAATGTAGATGGATTTTTCAGGAGTTGATTTCTTAGGGACAACTAGCTATCAAAATCTTACAGAAAGTAGCTATAAGCTGTATCGGGGCAATTACCAGCCGCTTCTGTATTTCAAAGGTCAATATAACACAGCCCCAAAGTAAAAACGTACCTTGTTCATAATCTCTACTTTCGTTTGTTGGTACTGTGTAGAGGTGGAATTCAACAGATCCAAGGTGAATTCTTTTTCCGGAATTGTAAGCCATACGTTAAAGTCATAAGCTGAAAGAAAGAATGAAAAGGCAATCAAGGTAAGATTGCAAGTTTCTTAACTTTTAATCAGTGGCGAAAAATGAATAAGTTTAAAGGAAGAGAAAATAGCTCCTTCATATGTTATAACACAATTTTTATTTTGTTGTTTTGTTTTGTTTTGCCAGATCTCTACAATTTTCTTCAGTGACAATAATATATAGGAAGTTGTTCCATTCCAATTTCCGAACTGTTGCTTACTTTTAAACTAAGAGCGGAAAAACTCCCTTAGCTTTCTGAACTCAACTTCACTGACTTACGGCAATATTCCCATCTGTCTTTGTAATGACTATCAAGTGAGCACCAGAGTCTTTGATGATCAACAAAAGTACAAGAGTTGTATGTCACATTCTTGTAAATAAAGGGGATGCTACAGCATTGACCATTAATTGTCCTCTGGGAGCAAACAATTGGTGGCATCGTAGTAGCCGTCGACACTATAAATGGGAGATGAAAGCGATAAAGAAGTGGTGTTAGCCACCTCAATTAAGCAACGAGAACTCTAACGCCCCGGACGTCATAAGTAGCAAACAGAAGTTTGATGTCTTTCTTACTGGAAGGCTTCTGTCTCACACAAATTAAAAGAATCTTAATGCCTTTGTTTTAACTCCCGCCACACGAGTTTGTCGAGTCAGAGCACTGAAAGAGAGAAATATCAACTCCTGCATTCCGGTTGCCATTTTCGATGTCCGGGACGTTAACGTTCTCGTTGCTTAACGTCCCTAACATTACTTAAAATAGGATAGATAGATGCTCTGATCCTTGGATCAGTGAACGAGCTAAGCAAATGAATATAACTACTTTTGATACATGAGGAGGGTGGACAGTGCAAAAGAGACCCTTGGCTTCTAGCTGTGTCATAAAATTTTGAAAAGATTTAGGATTCAATACAATGACCGAATAGAGAGCTATAAAATGACAAAAATATTATGGGCTGTTGCGCTGCTGAGGTCCATGAAGTCGATGAAAAAATTAAAATATCTGCCATTTTGGTGGTCATTTTGGATTTGATTGAAAATTTTGTTTAGCGGCTTATACACTCTATAAGAGCTTTTCCACTTTTGAAAATGTGCGAAACAATAGCGTAGCGTCAAAACATGGCGGGTAAAAAATATCCTCTAGCGGACTTGAATTGACGTGGAAATCTGTTGTGTTTCGCGTTTTTCCATCGGTCTTTGCCCGCCTTTGAGTTATAGAGCTGACTAAGAGAAACTGGTAGAAGACAGTACTTTTGTATGTGATGACAAACAATGGCTTTGAAATATTAGAGCAAGCATTCTTCTTTTGATGTACGTGTAAATTTTGCTTGTTATTTCGATCGATGAATCATCCTCACTTTAGAATATCTCTAGTCCATTTTTTTCTCAGGTCTTAAAAAAATCCTCTGGACATTCTCGAGATATTCTAGTTGCTTCAAGTGAACTGTGGAGATGGGCCGCCTATCTGATAGACGGGCCGCGAGAAGATTTTGAGAAAACAATCGTCTGTGGCAAAATGACCGCCTCCTGTGAGGCTAAGCCACACTAAGATAAAAACTTTATCTTTTATATGTTGGACTATATCAAGCATTTTCTTTTTTCAGCGTTGTCCACCGATTAAGCACCATATTAGCTACAACTGGCAACCGAGCAGGGAGAGTCTGCTTATTGCCATTATCGACTTTTTAATATCTCATTCCTGGGGTTAATTTTTTTGTCACTGCTGTGAAAAACCTGAAGGCGTCGTTAGGCCTGCTGGACTTTTACCTTTGGCTCAATATGCAAGGCCATTTAATGAAACTTACTACAATTTCCCCAGTTTCCTTTATATTGCGAATCCAAGGAGCACCAGAGTCTATGATGATTAACATTAGTGCAAGATTTGTAAGTCACGCCTCTGTAAGTGAAGGGGATGCTACAGCATTCGCCAGATGTTGTTTTCAGAGTGCAAACAGTTGGTGTCATCGCAGTGGTCAGTGAAACTATAAAAGGGAAAGAACAGAGAACGATAGAGTAATAGTACTTAGTAAAATTCAGGTAGTGGTCTATTATCAATGCTGCGTTCTGATTGGTTGAGCTGCTACTAGGCTATATGTTATAGCCCACTAGTAGCGAAAAGCGCGGGCATTTTGGCGGCAATAAAGGATTAAAGTCTAGCTTTAACTAGCTAATTTTTTTTATTCTCGATATTTTTGATCAACTGGTTGGATTTTACTAAAACAATTATTCCTCTCGCCCCCATGGGCATTGACTCAGAGCCCATTCGGGCTCGAGGAATAATTGTTAAAAATTCGCAAAATAAGGGGGGGGGGGGGGGGGTGGGAAGTTAGCTTTGTTTCAATCTGTTGACTGTTTCTGATTAAAATACGTTATAATATTATTTCAAGTACTGTGTTTGTTGAAAGCAACTATACTCAATCTTCTTCTTCAGTCTTCTGCTATCACTCTGACTTCCTCTGACTCAGTTAAAGTTTTAGTATGTTGTGTTTTAATAGCGTTTAAAAATCAGTTTTCAATTTCCATTTAGGACTTGCAATCGCGCCAAGAGAAATTGAAAACAATGCTTATGCAAGATAGGGCTTCAGCAAATTTAACCCCCTTTGGTGCGTTCCCTTTGCGTTCCGTGTGCGTTCCCTTAATTAATAGGCATATGCATAAGCCTATGACGTCACCTCGGAAAGAAGTGTCTTCCAGCATACTAATTTGGATTAGGTTTACTAATGAGCGTCACTCTACTACAATAGGAACAATAGGCTTGCCTAGACTTGCCCGGGCTCTTTTAACCCTGATTGGATAGTAAACAATCTATTATGTGTTTAACATAAAAGCGCGCTCTCCGTTCAGCATTTTATTATTGTCACAAAATCCAGTAAATAATATTTTTGAGCGGATAGCTTCCAAACATACTAGTCAACGGTCCGAAAACAGTACTCGACTTAAAACTATTCACTGTGACCAAAGATAAATATTTTTATTCTACAAAACCATTGATTCTGTTTTGTCAATATAATTCAACNTTAGGTCATCCAGATCCAAGAATTCGGCAAAATTTTGTTTGTGGAATGCAGTATCCTAGGCTTTGGAATCCGGACGTCAGTTCAAGGAATCCGGCATCCTCCTAACGATTGGAATTCGGGAGCAAGTCACGCTGATAAGGAATCCGGAATTAACTTAACGATTGGGATCCGGGAGCAAGTTACGCTGATAAGGAATCCAAAATCATCCTAACGATTGGAATCCGGGACTGGCAAGTCACGCTGATAAGGAATCCGGAATTCAGTACCTTGAATCCGGAATTCACAGCGTGTATTCTAGATTCCAATACTGTCTTGGGTTCCCTTACATGGGGCTTCTTGTCTTGCTCCTTTTCCATTGTACAAATAACAGTAGGGAGCTTTAGCAACAACGACGGTGACGGCAGCGGAAACGTCACTTTTAAAATGGATTCGCGTTTCTTCAAACGTTGTCGCGTTTATTGCAATTCGCTGAAAATGTCAAATGTAGATGGATTTTTCAGGAGTTGATTTCTTAGGGACCGCATTCAAGTTTAGAAAGACAAAGAGAAATTCGTCGTCGCTTGTTTGCGTCCTCCTTAAAACGTGCAGTTAGGCATTTTGACGTCGTAGTCGTGCGGTGGCGGCAAAGAAATGTACAAAAAAAGCGTGATGCGGTGCAAAGCTGTTGTTTTTCGTAATAAACCTATTGCTTTTTTGACGTTCTCGTTACCGTCTCTGTCGTCTTTGCTAGAGCTCCCTCTAATAATTAAATAACGAGAATGAGTTTTAAATATACATTTGTGTATCATTACACCTTAGTTCTCTCTAACGACAACCTTTTTATAAGTCCAACATGATTAGAGTTATTCATAGGTTTAAATATCTAGGTTTTACCTTCACGAGTTTCTCCTTGAAAAACATGGCGAAGTAATATGACAAAAATGTAAATGACGATCCAAGGATTGGCCATTTTAAGACCGAGGTTTCAGTTGAGTTACTCAGTATGACAATTGTAGAAATACACAGGTTCTTATTTTACGTGGATTTGAATCCTATTTGAAAAAGTAATTCCACACAACGCAACTTTATATTATATTTGTAGTTCCTCAATAGTCATCCCATTTACCCATAGAACTATCATGAACACTGGGACCAGAATTTATTAAGTGAGTTCTCCTGGCAACTTACATTCGAGTCGTTACTGCCATAATTCAGAGACTGATATATTTGGCTGTTTTTTGTTGTTGCCAATTATGCACTGTCAATGAATTGAAACTCTTTAACACGAAATGCTATTGGACTTTAAAAACAGAAAATGAGGATTCTGCTCTGAACATACCGTTTAAGTCTGAAGATATTTTCATACACACTACTCCAAATAGATAGTACTCACATTAAGCATTAAATTAAAGAAATAATAATAATAATAATAATTCAACTGTAAAAATATGTACATAATTACAGAAATATTTGAAGTAAGAATTAAGCACTATAAAGCATTAAGAATGACATAAATAATAAAAATACGATCACTGTGTCAATAACGAATAACAAATACATTCCTTGCGGCTCAAATGCGATCAATAACTCTTGCAGGCGGTCCAGAGTTTTAAATTAAGTCATTACAAAAGAGAATCATCCGTCTCAGATATTAAAAAGAAACAAGTTAAAAAGAATAAAATCTTGTATTCCTTAATCCCTAATTCTTTAAAAAGTTATTGGAGAAAAAGATTATTTAATAATAATAATAATAATAACAATAATAATAATAATTTAATTATTTATTCGGGCAGCTTCTAATATTTTGGATCTGTAGATCTGAGTAAACAAAGGCTAGCTGTCTTCTTGTGGATCTTGAGCCTCTCAAGCATAGTATCGCAGAGCGTACGATGGCGAAATAAACTTTAGCTCTTATCCACGAAATTGAGCCGGAGTAACTTCCTCCCTTGTTATTTGCGATCAGCTCCGCAAGTCTGCTGTGGTACACTCATCCGCCATACCACCTGTGGTCGTGAAAACTAGGGGAGTGAACGTTCCCTGTTCGATCATTAATAATAATAATAATGATAATAATAATAATACAATCTTTATTTAATAAGCATAAAAAAGACCTATGTACAGTGTTTTAAATAGTAGTAATAATTCACTCGTTGTGCATGTATGGCCTGTAATTGATGGTATTAGGACATCACTAATAGTGCGTCCCAAAGGTTCTAGCAGTTCCGCAATATCAGACATTAGTAAATACACACTCAGTGATTTTGGTGATTTAAGCAATTTGATTGGTTCGCTATCTTGGACTATTCACCAATATTTACCTCCTAGCGAGTGGATAATGCGTGAGCTCGGTTTTTTCCCATTTTTTTAGAGAGAGATCAAATGTCTGTAAAAATCGAGCAAAATCGAAATTTCACAGTCAAAAAATATTTTTCGCTCCTATCTTGTCCATGAATAGGCATTAGTAAGTAACTAAACGTGGTGTAGTTTGTTTTTCAAAAGACCGCTTGGATTTGGAGAAAATCGACAACATTAATTTTCGTGGTCGGCGACTTGACAACAACCAAAATTTGAGGCTAAATGAGGCGGTCTCAAAACTTTGCTTGCACGCACGCCGGAAGAAAGCGGGGTAAAATATTCAGTCCCCGATAAATAAATTTATAAAGGGTTCTACTTCTGATTTGGTGATGAATTCTTATCTTAACGATAATCTTGAAGATACACAATATTATTTTAGTTTGCTTTCTTTTTCAACTAATCGAAATTTAAATTTAGGCTGAAAGTTGCGTTCTGTATTTTAGGCATGTGCTACGCCCTGGTTATACCTGAAACTCAAGTCATAAGTTATTTGACATATTGTTGCAAAACATATTTAAGAATTGGCCTGGGTAATTACATTTCTACTTCACACGAAAGTTGAATAAATTTTGCTTGAAATATGAGACTTTTCAAGAAGGTCGGTTGCTTTTTGCTCGACAAGTCACGATGGGTGGGCTTTCCAAAAGAAATTTAACTCACAATCGCACTTGTATTAAAGACATTTGTACTGGACCAATAATTTTTGTTATCTCAATGTGTTTTCCCGTTCTGGTTAACTGGCATTGCGCCGTGTTCCCAAGCTAATCAATCGATGATCCAATAACTCCAGGAAACGTGGTGCGTGGAAATAACCTCATACACAACATTTCTTGGTATTGCTGGCCTTTCTTTTCCTCGGTCAAAATTTTACATCCATTGCCATTTAAAAATTCTAGGTCTCACAAAACCTATGATTTTGAAAGTGAAACTTTAAGGCTGCCGATACATCTTTAATCATAAAAGTCTGAAAAGTCTGGTCAAAAGTGTTGTGTGACAGGATTCACAGGCTTCCCAATCTAACCATTTGAGTGTGCTTTTCTTTAATGTCCTTGCCCAAAGTAGCATATTATGCTACTAACAATCCAAATCATGTTTTTCCCCCCTTTTTTCTAAGTTTTGTTAAAGTATGCTTCCATACAATACTAAATAAGTCCAAAAATATCGTTTTTCACGTCAAAGTCCCCCTCCTGCCTTGTATTTGCCTTTGATTGACTTCAAGCTTCAATCTCTAGTCTAGCTATTTCACCGCCGTATCAGGCGGCTGCCTGTCCTCTCGCATATGCAAGTTCCATTGTTTTGGATAACAGTTTTCGTAGACATTCTACAATTATCTCTCAGTATATCTGACTGGATTTATGAAAACATGGCTTCAGAGAGTGTCTAAGGGTCCTATGCTAAGTGCGTCCTTGGTACCAAGACTTTGACCCTCCCCACCCAGGATAATGGGTGACTGTCTGCACCTCCCACTGAGCTCTGCAATTATCATGATAATCATTCTCAACAGAGGCCTGATTCAGCTGGCTAGGGCAAATTAAGACCAAGGTACTCGCCAGTCAAAGCCTGCACTGAACACTGTTGCTTACTGAGGGGGTTTTGTCAAAACAGCCCCCTCCCTACCCCACTAGTTTTGACCCCAGGGCCTAATCACCCATCCACCCATCCACTGTTAGGGCAGTCCCTGGGCTATCCAGCTGTACCGACCAAGACGGCAAGCCCCCTACATTTTTGGGCACCGGACGGGCCCGGAGCCGGGCTTCGCCCGGCGCCTGGCAAAAACCCAGTGGTCACGTTTTAACGAAATCAGACAGATACATATTTTTTCTAATCTAATCATGGTTGTCGTCAAACTCTTGTTTCTGTCTATATAAACTGGAACCCCGCCTTGCGACCTCCCCTTTTATACGACCACCTCTTGCCTCACCTCCCATAGTCTTTCGACACAGACGTGAAATCTCCGAGTCATATTATTATTTTGAAGACCCCTTTAATGCGACCACCTCGCTATTACGACCCGGGTTTTCTGGCCCAACGCTGGTCGCATCAACGAGTTTCCACTATATTTTTTGATTTCTGTTTTCCACATTATAGAACAAAAAACAAAAAAATATGCGTAAGCTGGACTATGGCAATTAATGTAAAGAAATAAAATTTAGGCCCCCGATTATATGAAGAAAATTTGTCTCGAGCAGAAGGGTCACTTGCCAACCCGAGCTTCCCTGGAAGAGGCAACGTTTCACACATTTCCTTACAAAACATGGCGAACCGTTTAAATAACAAAAGGTTGGCTCGGCTAGAAGGGTGACCCACCTTGTCCAGTCACCCCTTTGTAATGGTAGGGTCAGCCTCCTAGCCGGGCTAACATTTCGTCATAAACATTTTGCTTGCTTTCCATTCTACAAAAATTCTTGTTTAAAAATTTCGGAAAATCCACGTGACCAATGGAACGGTGCATTACAGTTGCACAGACCAAACCAAAGCCACTGCGAGTTTGGTTATCGTGCTTGTAAGTAGGATACAGATGAGAGGTCCTGGGGAAAATAATTTTGTCAAATGGAAGGGGACATTTCGGTCCGACCGACCGGATCAAATCTGATCCGTATCGGTAAAGGGCTTGCATACTAGGTCAAAGCGAGACAATTACAGCATGCGTGAAGGCTGGGAGGGTGACCCTCCTACATGAGACAGGTTTTCTCCATTTAAAAGGGAATTAAAATTTTCGGATACAAAATTGAGATAGAGAAGGAATCAGAAAAAATTTTAAAATTCTTGAAAAAAAAAATCATCTTGTAGCCCTTGCAATTTCGATCGAAAAGACTCAAGTTGCCCAGTGTATGACCGAACAGTTGTTATAATTACATGGCGCCGCATTGAATTTAGTAATTTGAATAGCCTAAAAGTCTTTTTAATGTATTTAGGAGGAAACAATCGTTGGGTGCCCCTGTCAACTATCGACTAACGCTTCCACTACTTTCTTTACCCACATAGTTTTTTTTCAGTTTTACTCTCGGTCATTTTGCCATATTCTGAGTGTGCGCTTTAGTACCGGTCTTCAGACTGAAACTTGGTGGCTCATCAGAAATTCACGATCGCGATCAGAACTCCTGGAAAGAAAGTCTCCGACCATAACTTTCTGCGGTAGTCATCAGTGAGACTGATATTGAGGCTGCATCCGCTTCTGAGCCCGTTTCTCGAAGGTCCCGATAATTAACGGGCCCCTAAAGCTGTTGTTGTTTACATGCAAGCTGGAAGTTTCAATAGTTACATGATAAAACCATCAGTTAGTGAAACAAGTGGAGTATTTTGCTAGCCAGGACCCGCGCTCTTATTCTTTTTATTTCGATTTGAATATTTGATTTCGGGCCCGAAAAGGTTATGGACTTTGGAAAAACTGGCCCCTGGTCCATTGTATAAGGCCTCAAGACAAAATTTACTGGAAAAGTAAACTTAATGCGTTTGCCTAAACATTGTCCTTTTAACGTGAATTTTGAAGACGTCAGGGCCTAACTCATTGGTAAGCACGTGTGATTCCAGCTTTCTAACTTGCTGTATCTGCGGTATATCATCTTAGTGTCAGGTTTTAAAGCTTGTTTGAGTAGTCAAGCATCCTGTAAGGAG